GAGTGAAGGGCCTTCATCCCAAGAACATGGTCCCTCCAGCTGATTTAGGACTCTTGCCCAGGCGGAGGACTCCCAAGAGACTCTTTCTCCCCATCTGTCCCTCCTTTGCCTCCCTGGCTGTCTCCAGATGAATTACCATTTGCTGGGGAGTGGGGAGGGGGTCCTAGAAATATCTCAGAATGGCGTTTGTCCCAGCCACATGTGTTATTACTCAGAATAGAACTGACTTTAACCAGCTCGGGATCCACTGGTAACAGATTCAGAGAAAGTCAACTATCTTTGGCAGCTCTAAAGTTCACTTCCCTTGAGAGGCGCCCTCTTGTAATATTTTTAAATATACAATAATATGAGAAAACTCTTGGGGACTTGAGTTTCAGTCTTAACATTTGAGATAGATTTCCCCCTTGGAAGGGCAGAAACACGAATAAACATTTTCCAAAGTCTGCTCCAAAGTGTAATTATCAACAAACCAAATGCAGTTCTGCTTGGGGAAAATAGGTGACGATGGATGTGGTGAATGTAGGACTCATCCATGTTCCTATGAAAGGCTTTGCTTTAAAAAAGGAAAGTGGATTGATTAGTATAAAATGTTACAGAAATGTCCAAGTGCTAATCCCCTGAGGTGATAAAATACCGGGATTTGGGTAACCCACCAAGCTCCCACGTCAGGATTAATTGGCAGTCATATTAGTGACAAGCATGACACAGGCTGTGCTATTGTTGGCCTATTCCTTCAACTTGTTCAAAATGGTCACATGGAAAACAAAGAAACATTAATAATCCTACCAATTACTTCATCTTCCGTGCACTGGAGTGGTCTGGTAGCTGGAAAAGGCTCTGGATATTTAGATCAAATGGACTGTGTGTGTGTGTGTGTGTGTGTGTGTGCGCGCGCGTGTCACTTAAATATCTTTAGAGCATTAGAAGAATTTTCTATTTTGCCTCACTGTACACTGCTTAACTGGTAGCTTGAAGTGAAGACATCTTAACGAGGTGTTTGTTGATGTCTGGTTTCTGTGGTCAAATAGAGTAACGAAGGTTGGGAGCAACAGCCTTGGGACTCAGGCCTCCTGAGAAGGTTTCACTGCCTCTGCTCCTCTTTAGCCCCTTGCCCTTGGAAATCCTGTGACAGACGATGGGGCACACAGGGTAGGTGCAGGATAGCTATGGGCAGTTGCCAGGGCCTCCAGTAAACAGCACAAACCACATTCAACGTTAGGGATGTTTTGTATGTGTGTGAGCCACATAATATACAGCTGTGGGTGAGACATGGAAGACCAGCGTGACAGAGCTCATCCTGGTGGGACTTTTTTTTTTTTTGAGACGGAGTTTCACTCTTGTTACCCAGGCAGGAGTGCAATGGCATGATCTCGGCTCACCGCCACCTCTGCCTCCTGGGTTCAGGCAATTCTCCTGCCTCAGCCTCCTGAGTAACTGGGATTACAGGCACGCGCCACCATGCCCAGCTAATTTTTTGTGTTTTTAGTAGAGATGGGGTTTCACCATGTTGACCAGGATGGTCTCGATCTCTTGACCTCGTGATCCACCTGCCTCGGCCTCCCAAAGTGCTGGGATTACAGGCGTGAGCCACCGCGCCCGGCACCTGGTGGGACTTTTAAAACAGCCTTCTAGAAAGGAACGCAAAGCAGCTTTCTCAGTCATGAAAGAGATCAAGGGTCCATGTGGATAACCTTTGAAAGCATGCTTTTTGTTAAAATCAACAATGCAGAGGGCAGCCAATCTGCCCCCATCAGGCCACCAGTCAGTGCCTGGTCTTATCTGGCCCTCAGACCATGCTAGACTCAAGGGATTCGTAGTAGAGACACTGTGGGCCACTCTTTGAGTGGGGTGGGGCAGAGGCCTTTGGATGGACATCTGCCTGGAACAGAGAACCTGTCACATTCACTGGATTTCAGCCTAGGTCCCCAGCCTCCCAGCAAAACCTCAGCACATTTCCTTCTCTCCCCGGAGTCATATCAGGCTTAGAAAACAGGCACTTGTAGGATGCAGCCTAATGTTTGCAGAGTGGCAGGAGGGATGGAGGACGGACCTAATCTGTTTAACTCCTATCCATTCTGTATTAGAATGTTGAAAATAATCTATATTTAGATGACCTGCTCAATCCTCTCCCCACGGCCCCAGTACCTCCTCAGATCCAAAGTCCATTTGTTCCAGATGGGGCCAGACCAGACGAGAAATGATTTCAAAACTCTTCTTCATGGGAGCAAACCCCCAAAGTCTAGATGCAGTGGGAAGGTGATTATCCAAACCTACCAAATACCCAGGACTCTACTGGCTGTGACCAAGTGAAAATTTTAAATGTCGAGTTTTAAAAGGAAAGCTGCCAATGGGTGTTCTGTAAATCATTTGTGCCAGCAGACTGACCCCATTATGTCAGCTAATCCTGGAAATACAGGAGGTAAATTTCAATCTTTTAGCATGGAGCACTTAATCAATATTCTAAATGTTTTTCTTGCAATTTATGCTAGCAGAGCAATGGGGTGCTTTGGCGGCCCGTTAATCTTCCACCAGAAAAGAGGCACTTGAGAGCCAGTCGTGGGTGCTGGGATTTTGCACAGGACGATAGAGCAGGAGGAGAGCAGGCCTGGGAGGATGGAAGAGAGGAAGGAGAGGTGCTTACTTCCACACCAGACTCCTGGCTCTGGGAAGGAGTTTCACCCCCATCTCCTTACCCCACCGCGCAAAGTAGGGTGGAGCCACCTTGAGAACATTTCCTCAGCACTTTCTTTTTTCACATGTGGTTGACAGCCTAAGAATTGGTTTTCTGGGAAAAGCTTGAGCTTTGGAGTTAGTTGGATCTGAGTGAGAATCCTGGCTTACTTCCTGTGGCTCCATGACTGTCACGTGGTTTTTATCCTGAATCTCTGCTGTAAAACATCACTGAGCTCTTGGTTTTTTGTGAGGCTAAAGAACAGTGCAAGTGTGCAAAGAGCCAGGGACAACAACGGGCTGACCCTTGGCACTGGGGGAAGCGACGTCCACTGTTGGCATGGTTGGTGAGATGCCTTAGGGATTTTAACACAGGACGCTGGGGCTGGAAAGGAAGAGCTGCTCTCAGGAGCTGGGGGCCATGGAGGAAGAAAGATGGAACTCTTTAGATTGTGCTTTCTTAATTAATAAGAAAGGGTTTGAGCTGAATGATATCCTGCCAGTTCTAAGATTTGGTCTTGGTAGAAAGTCCCAGGGAGGAGGGGAAGGGGGAGAATATTCTTTGGATGCCAGGCCAAGAAGGAAGGGAAACCAAAATTAGTCAAAAACGGACTAGGTCTTGAGGGATTAGAACTGATCCAAATTCCATCTCTCTGTGGGACTCTTGGGAGCTTCATCTGACTAATCTGCTTCTTGGAGCTGCCACTCTAGTCAGATCTTGGTCCAGCCTGGTGACCAGAGTGGGACCAGCTGCCAGCGGCCCTACCACATCTCTTTAACCAGTGCAGACATTGGGAGGAGGTGACGCAGTTGTTAACAGGAAACATTCTTGGTTGCAGAAAAGACAGGATTTGAGAAGCAGTCCTGCCTCTTAGCCTCAAAGCCCAGGACTTAGCAGTCTTTGCCATATCTGCACTCCACTGATCCTATTATTTGCTTAATCTTTATCTTCAAATTCAGTTATGAGCTATACTTATTTATATGCATGCTACTGCCTTTGAGACTCATCTGAAGCTGTTCTAACATACGTGAAAGCATGGGTTCAATGTGCTTTCTCTATATTAAAATCAATATATAAATAGTAAAATTAAAACCATAAAAAAGTTTACATGCTACCTAAAATCATGTCCTGTACCACCAGTAGTCCCCGAGCTCCACTTTGGAAAACGTTATAAACCACTGAATCCTGTGACAGATCCCAGAACAATTTTTCTGGCCAGGCATTAATACAACAACAAATGCATATGCAGTGCCTCCCCAGAGGAATCCTCACAGTAACCTCAGAAGGTCAGTTCTATTATCATTCCCATTTTTCACACAAGAGACCTGAGGCACAGAGAGACTTGATCAGGAGAAGAGCAAGAGCAAAGCAGTGTTCTTTCCCACCACCCCCATTATAAATGGCTACAGTATATTACCGAAACCAGAGCCCTTTAAACATTGTGTTTCTGGGTAACTATAGATTAAATCAGTCCCTAAATTCTTGTTGAACATCTGGCAGACCAAAGTGTCAGATTGGTTCACAAATGAGCATAGAGAAAAGTAATGATGCCTATTCTAACACCAACTGGTAGACCGCAGTACAACTCAATTCCTAGCTAACTGCTCATGGTTAGTATCAGACTCTGCAGGTTACAGGGCATGGTTCCCAACAAGACAGCCCTTACTTCAGATGCCCGCCACACTTTGGGGTTCCCAGGCCACCTGCACTTCTGACCAACTAGTTACGAAGTCAGGGGTTCCCATGGCCCCCTCAAGTTCATTTCTCACTAGAATGATTCACAGAAATCTGGAAAGTGCTACAAGAGTTAGGATGACAGCTTTATCATCAGGGTACAAATCAGAACCAGCGAGATGAAGAGATACCTAGGGCAAGGTCTTGGGGGTTCTCCAAGGGAGAGCTACTTTGCCTTCGCCCTCCAGTTTAGGGCATGTCACCTTCTTGCTGCATCAATGTATTTACTGCCCAGGAAACTACAGGAGTTGTCTCCAAAGTTTTGTTTGGGTTTTATTACGTAGACAGGATTGACTCAATGACCACATGATTGGCAATCTTCAGCCCTCCTCCCCACACCATCGGGATCAGGTCAGACAGACCTACTGTGGCTCAAAGTCCCAACCCTGTGACCCATGGTTGGTCTTTGTGGTAATCTGACCTAATCCTGAGTCACCCCATGACTGAGACACTCAGTTGTGATCCAAATAACTCATGAATAGCAAAGACACTCCTAGCACTGGAAAAATTCCAAGGATTCAGAAGTTATCACTTAGGAACCAAAGACAAAGCCAGTCAAATTCTTAATTACACAACAATGCCTCATCAGACTTGGTTGTTTGTTTTAAAATGTAATTTTAATTCTAGAGATGCAATGTGAAACTCCTTTTATTTTTAAAAATTTTATTTCCATAGGTTTTTGGGAAACAGGTTATATTTGGTTTACATGAGCAAATTCTTTACTGGTCGTTTGTGAGATTTTGGACCACCCATCACCCAAGCAGTATACACCAAACACAATTTGTAGCACTGTGAAACTTCTCTTAAGGAAGTTGGGGTTGAAATTCTGCATGCTACACTTACTATCCATTAAACTTTGGACAAATTATCTTTTCTGCCTGTTTTCTCATTTTTAACATGGAGATGGCAGAAGAGCTTCCTGGAGTGTTTGTGGATTAAATGTGTTTCTGCGTGTAAAGCATGCTTAGAATGGTGCCCAGCTCAAAGATGATGGTACTGTGAAAGTTTTTATTAGCTGTAAGTTTCAGGGAGCTTTCGGCCCAGCACTTGGATATCACTGGCCCCCTCTGACCTGCCTTCAGGGTCAGAGAAGTGCCCTGAAGGATCAGGTTGAATTATGAGACTCAGGAGGCATTGCTTTATGGGCCCTGTTTTCCAGCGGGCTCTCTGGTCTTTGTGATCTGTGGAGCTCTGTGGCTGTGGAGTGGAACTTATTATGGATAAGACAAAGGATGAGGAGGCCTTTTTAGAGTGAGAGTTTTGAAATGGAGTTTGGAGATAGATGCTTCTCCATGGGAAGTCACTTGCTTCCCCTGGTATTCTTTGCCAAAGGTGGGCTGCACGCCCTATGTCAACGCTGTCAGTTTCAGTGAGGATTGTTTAGTCATCTCTTGGCTATGAGTTGAATGGTTCCTTGAGGCCAAGCTTCCTCGACGTTGGCACTGTTGACATTTTGGTCTGGATAATTGTTGCAGGGGGCTGTCCTGTGCATTGTAGGGTATTTAGCAGCATCCCTGGACTCTACCTTCCAGATGCCAGTAGTACCTTTCCTCAACTATGACAGCCAAAAATGTCCTTTCAACATTGCCAAATGTCTCCAGAGGGCAGAAGTGCACCTGCTTGACAATCACTGCCCAAAGTGAAGGGTGCCTCAGAGACCCCCTCTTCCTTTATACTAAAAAGGAAAATGGGGGTGTTTGAGAATCCTCATGTTTCTTCCTCCTTATATGGCAAGAAGCATCGGGAGATATAAGTGTAAACTGGTGCATTGGACCGAGTCTTTCCTAGGTAGCGCAGGCAGGGACAATGAAAGGAAGCTATGGTTGCTATTTCTCTTAGTCCATTTGGGCTGTCATAACAAAATACTGTCGACTAGGTTGCTTAAGCAATAGAAATTTATTTCTCATAGCTCTGGAGGCTGGAAAGTTCAAGAGCAAGGTGTGAGCAGATTGAGTTCCCAGTGAGGGCTATCAGCCAGGTTGCAGATGGCCGCCTTCCTGCTGTATCTTCACGTGGAGAAGAGAAAGAGCTCTGGTGTCTCATCCTCACACCATCACCTTCTGGTGTTTTTACACATCCAGTGCCCTGGATGATTACCCTGCAGAGAACATCTCAAAGGAGACTTCTGCCCAACAACAATAGTGGATGGAAGTGCTGTGTCATGGTCAGGCTTCTCACACGTGGCTTTGAGGATGGAGGAGCTTTAGAAGGAAAGGGATTGAATGGGATTAGAAAACTAGCACCAAACATGTTAACACTGAGCCCTTAGCACAGACACAGAATCTAAATGACTGTGGCAACGTGGTTACCATTGCCTGGGCCTTTTATCTAAGAGAATGGTCTTGGGGCTGCATGTTATTTGTGGTGTTTGGTTTATGGTCTTTGTGACATTTTCATCATCTCTGTGTGATACAGACTGTTTTCTAGCACCCATTGTTGTTTTTGTCACATAGAAAAAATCCAAACCTTGGCTATACACGGTGTTTTCTCTGTGTAATGGTCTGCTGCTCTGGCTGAGTTTATTTCTCCACTCTGGGAGGAATGAGCTGTTGGGGAGTCTTCCCTTAGCAGAAGTATGAAGCTGCAGTGCCTCCCACCCAGACTACTTCCTTCTGGGCCTTCCTGCAAGCTTCATCACAGAGCTCTGGACCAGGCTGCCAAGTGGCCCCAGGCCCTGCATGGTGAACCTGCTACTCCCAGTGTGGACGGGCTACCAGTGACCTCCTTGGACTTCATATTCTGGGCTCCAAGTACTAGCAGAGGAGCTTAGGGGGAAGCTGCATCCCAGAATTTACCCACATCAGCCTTAGGAGGAAAGAGGCTGTTGTAAAAACACCTTTTATAATAACTGCTTATAGAGCCTTTTCAAAGCCCTTTAGCCAAGAAAGTGCTTGAATTCAGAGCTCAAAATTGGGTATTACCCTGTTAAGGCTGCTATACGAGCCAGCATACTGAACTACATTTCCATTTTCAACTCAATTGGAAATGGACACATGCAAGGTATAACTGGTACAAAAAATAGGAATTAAACCTTGGGGGCCAGTCCTCATGATAGGTATGTATGTGTGGCACACTACATCATAGATGATGTCATACATGTAAGTGGCAGCTACTCAGTAACTAAGCATGTTGCATTTTAAACATCTCACTCATGGGGAGACGTTAAGAAAAAACAGTGCTGTTACCGCAAGCATTTTCTTAATCCATGGGGCCCTACTAAATGTCCCTTGGGCAGACTTTAACACAGGAGACTGATTCTGAGACCTGTGGTTGCAGGCACTTGGCAAAAGGCACCTCCCATGGAGGACAAGCTGTCCCACCCAGCCTGCAGACATCAGGTGCTGGGCTGCCTTGCTGAAGCAGCTGTTATCAGATTGCCAGTTTCTGCAAACTTAATTCAAAAAATGATTTCTTTGTGATTGGCATGTTTGCATTGTAGCAAACTTTGGTTCAACATATTGTTAGAATACATAATACTGTAATTTAAGATTATTTTATCAGCAGTAAAGGGTTTTATAATTCATTTTAAAAGTTGTAATGGGCTTGAGCATCTTCAGTATAGTTTAATAATACAGCATTTTATAGCTGGCTGTAAAATTTCAGATTACGGTTTTAGCAATTGTGCAATTCTATTTTATAGTTTAATAATTGTTCAAATGAAGGAGAGTGTAAAGTTCCTAAAAACCAATTTAAATGACATAGAAAAATAGCTTTTATCAAAATCTATTGCACACCTTTAATGAACCCAGATGTCACCTTTTCAACAAAGGCAGGTCATGGGATCTATTTTTCTCCACAACAGTGTAGCCAGATGCCCTCTCAATTAAGCACACACAGTACGGTATCTCTAAATTGGAATTTTTCTCTTTTTAAAAACTCTTGTATCCCTAATCTTCTATAGCTAGAATAAGCCTATTTCCAAGCACTGGGTGAACACCAGCGAGGCCCGGAGAACTCCAACTTAAACAGGCAATAAATTGGTTCTCTCCAGAGAAGATTTTCATTTTACAGATGGTCTCTTGATCACACTGCCTGAACCCCAGCTCCTGACTGTTATCAAGTCTCTTGTTTTACTGTTCTATAAAGTGAATGGCAGAAAGGGAGCCCTACCTGGTAATTTCATTATATATTATCATTATGAGTAATAAAAGTGTTGTCATATATTATAGCATCCAGGAGAAGGCACGATCTCATTGTCATTGGAATTAGAGTTCATGTTATTTATATTTCTGGAATTTGCTATGGGTATGTTTTCAGGCAACAAAAGCCAGTGAAAGAGGTGGCCCTGGGCCAGGGACACAAACAGTTATCACGTAGCTTAGGGAGAGCACCATAGCATATTAAGTCCCAGGACCCTTGAATGCAGTGTGATTACTGAGCAAACCAGCTCTGGCTCAGAGCCCCGTTTCTGCTGCACAGAAATGGAAAAGGTCAAAGGAAGTCACATGTGGCTGGGCTATTTCCTCTCCGAGGTGCATTCTGGTGGCCTGGGGTTCACGGCCATTACCACTCTGTGCTATAAACAGTGGTACCTTTGTGTGATCCAAGGGCAGGGTGATTTTGAACTCTCTACCTGGCAAATACTTTGGGAAGAGGTCACCTGCAGTGCCTAAAAACCCCTTTCTTCAATCACCCTGAAATGACACAGGCTTCCTTTTGTTTCTCATTCAGTTCTCTAGTTGTCTCATCCGTCTTTGTCAGCTTTGCGCCGGGGCATTTCTATCGAAATTTGTTGTTCCTTGAGACCAATGTAAGGCTGTCTGTGCCTGCCATTTGGGTATCTTCTGGCAGGCTTCAGTCAGCTCAGCAAAGATCCCACAGCTGGAAAACATGCTTGCTGCCCACAGACAGGCATTAGCTCTGGGCTTCAGCTGCTGTTTCCTCTTATTCCTGACCCCAGAACACCCCGTTACTATGTTATAGTACCCCAGTACTGTTAGTACTATGCAAGGGACAGCACTTGGTGATTTTGTGGTCCCATGGAGAGTGGAGGCAATACCATCCTTTGTTTAACTCCAGTCCGACACTCACTTTAAGATAATAGGGCCCAAGCCAAATACGGCATTGATTGTAGCGATGCTTGACAAGTGATCATGCAAACAACAGGCCAAGTGCAGGCTGGTTACTTTCCAAAGTTGCTTTTTTAAGAAAAGGAGGCTATTGTACTTAAGAGAAGATACTGAAGGGCCAGGCCTCTTGCTACGATAAAAATCAAACCCTTCTGTGGGCAAAGCTGGAGAGTAGCTTAATCTCTTTGGTCCTTGGATTTATAATCTGCAACATGAGAATGATAAACGCTACTGCCTAGGAGTGTTGTAATTATTAAACAAATTAAAATCCTTCATCACAGTAACTCAGCCTCCAGGACAGTGACTATTTCTATCATTATTTTATTCTCCTGGATGGTCTTTGCTGATGATGACATAGGAGGAGGCTGTGCTGAGGCAGCATCCGATCCGGTAAAGATTGCACCTTTACCCCAAAATTCATCTGAGAAATGAACTTGAGCATCATATAGGTGTGTGACCTTGCAGAAATAGACCGATTGTTTGATCACGTATTTATGATGTCTTCTTCTCCTAAGCACTCTTTCTTCTTAAACCACTATTTGTAAAAATGACTTAGACAGGGGATGGGAAGATAAGGTCCTCCTCAGTGTATTGTGGGAAAAGCCATTAGGCCACCTGCACCTATGGTCGAGAGGGCAGTGAGGCCAGCCCATCAGAAGAACAGTAATTCAGCCCTTGGACAACTGCTTAACCCAATTGCTGGGTAATAAACATGCTTAATAAAAAGGAATAGGACGTCTGCACCATCTTGGCTATAAATATGCTCTCTTGTTCTAGGTAACCTATGAGAATATCTCTGAGCACACTTAGATCACTTACTATAAATAAATCCAATTTCTTATATCCCCTACTGACCTTTTATCCTTAAGACTTCTAGCCAACTGTGCTCCTCTGAATAACAGGTTCTGCCAGTTCTTGAACTATGGAACTCTCTTATGTGGAAGCCAACAGCCCTGGTTCTCTTATTGGGTAAAATTCAACCAAGAGCGTCCCTCCCCTTTGCCCCTTATATTTTAAACCCAAGAAAATGAGACTGTCTAGAGAGGAAACTCAAGACAGTGGGCGCTGAGTCAACATTTGGGGAGCTTTCCCCAGAGTGGCAGTCCCCCCGCCTGCCCCTCTGCTGCAGGGACCCAGCGAGACACTCACCACTGGCATCTGGAGGAGCAGAAACCACCTGGTCTGTGGCTTGGCCTCTGACTTCCTACACAAGGTGCATTTGCAGAAGTTGCTCCTGGTTTCTGGGGTGAAGCTTGGGAGGACACCCTTGGGCTCTGTATTCCTGAGAGACAGCTCGGGCAGACTCTAGATTCTGTGCTGCCTGAGCTGTCTCTGAACATGCTGGCTGTGTGAGTCCGGGCTTATCAATGCACCTCTCAGAACCTTCCTCAGCTGCCAGCAGGATAACGAGCTATTTCTGAGGACTGATGTAAGATAGGGGAGATCATGGGCAGTGTGTCTAGCATGGAGTCACTATGCATTGATTTTTAGAGTCAGAGTGACTGGGTTCAGATCTCAGTGCAGCCTCTTCAAGCTGTGGAAACCTGAGCAAGTCATCACCTCTCAGAACGCCGGTTCTGGACCCATGCAAAACGGGAGTGCGCCACTCAGAAAGTTGTTTCAGCCAATGGGTGCATTTGGTAAAAGGCAGGTGGAATCATCATTGGTGAAGGCTATTTGTGATAGTAATGATCGCAGTCATCACTATTTATCTACGTGGTTTTCCTATACTTTCTAGAATATTTTTCTCTGTTTAACTAAAAGCACATACTTTTAACATTTTCTTAAAGGTTTTTTGCTTTTGCCTTGTTCTTTTGCAACACTAACCATGCTCTATCTTCTAAACCAGAGGATGAACAAAAGCCCCCAGTCCGTTATGTCTCCAAACCGTGGTGTTTTATATCAAACCTTAGTTACCACCATAAGTCACAGAGCCATTATGGGGCCGCACTCAGCTGCACATAAATGCACAGGAGAATGAGAGGCTTAATAAATATTATCTGATGGTGATGAGGATGCGTGTCTGATGAGATAGGCTTCATGCACTTCTCATCAGGGACAACAATGAATCTTTTCTGTTGCTCTTGCACATTTGCATTTCCAACTGCACGTTCTGAGAAAACAAATGTTTCATTTTAGGGCCGTCCCTCCTAGTTTCCTTTGTACCATTAATGCTGAATGTTCGCTATACAAAACAGCCGGCCTCACCCCAAACCAAAACGTTTTTCACACATTTCTGTCATTATCTTATTGTTAATTGCACATAATTTTCTAAAATACAGCTCATAATTGCTTCTTGTCTGAATATTTTACTAATCAAGCAAGTTAACCATGAATGAAAACAAACAGTTCTCAAATGTATTTCTGCAACCTGTGTTTGCCCCAGCGTGGGGAAAAGCAAAAAAGATGTAAGGTGATCCTGTGAAGTTATAAAAAGTAGTAGTAAGCCCAGCTAGGGCACTCTATGAAGCTCCATGCTGTAGACAGAGTCCACACGCAGCACTCCTTGCCATCTTGCCATTAGTGTTAAATTACAAGGCAAAGCTGCAGGCATCCTTTTGTGGTGCGCTGCAGACTGACAGGGAAGCCCGAGGGAATGCTTAGCTAATGGAGGACTGTTGATATATCTTACTGGACTGTGTCTCTTTCACTGCATTCATTTTTAAATCCAAGGAATCACAGATGATCATAAGCCAGTTATCTTCTGTACAGTGTTCACAAGACCAATTAGCATGAAGTTTTGCATTTTCCCCACCTTTGCCTCGATCCAAGAATGACTATCAACCACAGAGAGGCTAAGAGATCGTTCACAGCCACTTGAATTTTCAAAGGACTTCCATCTAGGGTATCACATTAGATTTTTAAAAACCTTATGATTTAGACAGTAAGGCAGGGATTATTGGAACCGTGGATGATGGCTGGAAAGCCAGGACTAGGAACCTTGTAACCTATGCTCTTTTTACCATACCATATCAATGAAGCCAGTCCAGGACCAAGTGCAAAATTGTAGCAGAAGTTCTCTTAACCGACACTTATTTAGCCAGCTCACCACAGAAGCCAACCTGTGCCTTCCCCTGAAAACGTACTGGCTGATGCACAAGACCCACTGCACGGGGGCCACACTAATGGGCTTCTCTCCTTCTGCCCGCAAGTGCCCCTCACTCTCTCCAGTTGGGATGCAGCCTTAACAAGCATCAGATATATTTGATCTCATGCCTTTTCATGCTGGTTGTAGTTGGTATTTTTGCTTACATTGTTTGCTAAATATTACATAAATCACTGAAATAGGAGCACAAAAAAAGTATAATTGCTTCAATGTAAACTAAGTTGAATAGATCTAAAAAGGCAAATTCTTAAAAAAAAAGCCACAAGCAAGAGTTGCAATTCTAATCTCTGATAAAATAGACTTTAAACCAACAAAGATCAAAAGAGACAAAGAAGGACATTATATAATGGTAAAAGGATCAATGCAACAAGAAGAGCTAATAATCCTAAATATATACACACCCAATACAGGAGCATCCAGATACATAAAGCAAGTTCTTAATGACTTAGAAAGAGATTTAGACTCCCACACAGTAATAGTGGGAGACTTTAACACCCCACTGTCAATATTAGACAGATCAACGAGACAGAAAATTAAGAAGGATATCCAGGACTTGAACTCAGACCTGGAGCAAGCAAACCTGATAGATATTTACAGAACTCTCCACCCCAAATCCACAGAATATACATTCTTCTCAGCACCACATCACACCTACTCTAAAACTGACCACATAATTGGAAGTAAATGACTCCTCAGCAAATGCAAAAGAACAGAAATCATAACAGTCTCTCAGACCACAATGCAATCAAGTTAGAACTCAGAATTCAGAAGGTTACTCAGAACCTCACAGCTTCATGGAAACCGAACAACTGGCTCTTGAATGTTGACTGGATAAACAATGACATGAAGACAGAAATAAAGAAGTTCTTCGAAACCAACAAGAATGAAGACACAACATACCAGAATCTCTGGGACACATTTAAAGCAGTGTCTAGAGGAAAATATATAGCAATAAATGCCCACATGAGAAGCAAGGAAAGATCTAAAATTGACACCCTATCATCAAAATTGAAAGAGCTCGAGGAGCAAGATAAAAAAAACCCTCAAAACCTAGCAGAAGACAAGATCAGAGCAGAACTGAAGGAGATACACAAAAAAACCCTTCAAAAAATCAATAAATCCAGGAGCTGGTTTTTCAAAAAGATCAACAAAATAGACCACTAGCCAGATTAATAAAAAAGAAAAGAGAGAACAATGGATGCAATAAACAATAAAGGGGATATCACCACAGATTCCACAGAAATACAAACCATCATCAGAGATTATTACAAACAGCTCTATGCACATAAACTAGTAAACCTGGAAGAAATGGATAAATTCCTGTACACTTGCATCCTCCCAAGCCTAAACCAGGAAGAAGTCGAAACCCTGAATAGACCAATAACAAGGGCTGAAGTTGAGGCAGCAATTAATAGCCTACCACCCCAAAAAAGCCCAAGTCCACAGGGTTCACAGAATTCTACCAGACAGACAAAGAGGAGCTGGTACCATCCTTTCTGAAACTATTCCAAACAATCCAGAAAGAGAGAATCCTTCTCAAATAATTTTATGAGACCAACATCATCCTGATACCAAAACCCGGCAGATACTCAGCAAGAAAAGAAAACTTCAGGCCAATATTCATGATGAACATAGATGCAAAAATCTTCAATAAAATATTGGCAAACTGATTGCAACAGCAATCAGTTGATCAAAAAGCTTAGCTTATCCACCATGATCAAGTAGGCTTTATCCCAGGGATACAAGACTGGTTCAACATACGCAAGTCTATAAACCTAATTCACCACATAAACAGAACCAAAGACAAAAACCACACGATTATCTCAAGAGATGCAGAGAAGGCCTTTGACAAAATTCAACAGCCCTTTATGCTAAACACATGAGCCCAAAAGGCAGCCAGGAGAGCCTGCGGACTACACTGTCACCCCCTCCACCCGCCCAGAGAGAGATGGAGCTGTAAGCGGGAGCAGCTGGGCGGGCCCCCACCCCATGACCAGAAAGAGAGGAGGCTGAAAGGTGGAGATAGCCGGGTGTGGTTGGGTGGGTCCCTACCCTCCGCCATAACCCCCAGAGGGCTGAAGTTCTGACTCTAGCGTGTTGCACAGCCAGTGCCACAATCTGAGCTGAACCCTGAATGATCCAGCCCAGTGGAGGAAGGGCACAACCCACCATTAGAGGGGTGGGACTGGGCTACATGTTTTAACAAAAAAACACAGGAAGGCTACATAGCAACTGGACGGAGTTCTTGACAACCCAGCAGTGCCTAAAGGTCGGCGGAAGAGGTGGACTTAATCTCCCAGTATAAACAAAAAAGACACAGGAAGCTTCCCTAGTAACCTGAAGGAGTCCCTAGAAACCCAGTAGTGCCTTCACAGGCAGACAAGCGACCTCATCAAGCAGCTCCCTGACACCACAGCCAGGTAAATCCACAAAGACAAGAAAAAAACCAGCTCAAAAAAGATGAAACCATCAAAGACCAGAACACCTCTTCTCCTTCAAGGGATCACAACTCCTCAGCAAGACAGGATCACAACATGACCCAGAAGGAGTGCAATGAATTGACAGAAACAGGCTCCAGAAGGTGAATGATAACAAACTTTTCTGAGCTAAAGGAACACATTCTAAGTGAATGCAAAGAAACCAAAAACCTTGAAAAAAGGCTAGACGAAATGCTAACTAGAATAACCAGCTTAGAGAAGAACATTAACAATGTGATGGAGCTGAAAACTGCAGCATGAGAACAACATGAAGCAAACACAAGTTTTAATAGCCAAATTGATTAAGCAAAAGAAAGGATATCAGAGATTGAAGATCAACTCAATGAAATAAAAAGAGAAGGCAAGACAAGAAAAAAGAGTGCAAAGAAATGAACAAAGCTTCCAAGAAATATGGGATTGTTGAAAAGGCCTAATCTATGCTTGATCAGTGTACCTAAATATGATGGGGAGAATGAATCCAAGCTGGAAAACATGCTCCAGGATATTATCCAGGAGAACTTCCCAAGCATAGCAAGGCAGTCCAAATTTCAAATTCAAGAAATACAGAGAACTCCACAGATATTCCTCAAGAAGAGCAACCCCAAGGACATAATCATCAGATTCATCAGGGTTGAAATGTAGGAGAAAATGCTAAGGGCACCCAGAGAGAAAGGTCAGGTTACCCACAGAGGGAAGCCAATCAGACTCACAGCAGATCTCTCAGCAGAAACCCTACAAGCCAGAAGAGAGTGGGGGCCAATATTCAACATCCCTAAAGTAAGGAACTTTTAACCCAGAAGCTTATATCCAGCCAAACTAAGCTTCATAAGTGAAAGAGAAATAAAATCCTTTATAGACAAGCAATTACTGAGAGATTTTGTCACCACCAGACTTGCCCTACAAGAGCTCCTGAAAGAAACACTAAGCACGGAAAGGAACAAGTACCAGTCACTGCAAAAACAAACCAGTTGGCAAAGACCAAAAATGCAATGAAGAAAATGAGTCAACTAACGGGAAAGAAAACCAGCCAGTAAAAAAAATGGCAGGATCAAATTCACACATAACAATATTAACATTGAATGTAAACAGCCTAAACTCCCCACTCAAAAGACAAAG